AAGGGAGCGTCTTAAAGAGAGAGCCTTAAGGAGTGCCCCTTAAAGGGAGTGTCTTAAAGAAAAAGCCTTAAAGGGTGATGAGCATGCAGCTTCCAGTCTCTGCCATGTTTTTCAATCCATTCCTGTTTCCTGTTGCAGATGTGAGTTGCCTGATCATCAACCTTGAGTATGTAAACTGCACCTGGGAGCAGAGGAACCAGAATTTCAACTTTACCTTCTACACCACGTGAGTGGAGCAGCAGGCCCTGATTGTCTTCTGTGTGTTTGGGCGCATCTCTCTTAGGGAGTGCTGGCTATGGGGATGACCAGCTCTTACGTCTGTCAAGGTTTGACAAGGCGAAGAACTTCACAGAGTGTCAGCAATACGTGTGGATGGAGGACGGCAGCGTTGGCTGCAGGGTGCCTTATGTCCGAGGCTCCAGATTCAACACACTGCTCACCAAGCTGCTCTGGGCCAACGTCAGCATTGAGGAGCACCACGAACTTCGGTCTATGGGTAACAGTTACTACGCCCCTTCACTCACCACTTCCTTCATTCTGCTGTTCTTCTACGCCTCGGTGACGCTGTATCTCACCCGTCTGTGTAGTGAAAATGAACCCGCCCACCAACCTTTCACTGGTAAAGTTGGAAAACAACTCAGGGCTGTGGTTATACTGGAATTCCAGCATGCTTCCCAGTTGTATGGAGAACGCTGTACGTTACAGGAAAGACTGGGAATCCTGGAAGGTGAGAAGGGCAGCCTGCAGGTGGAAGCTCGCTCCTGTGCTAACCACCACTGATCGCCACCTCCCTGATCGCTCTGCCCTCTCTCCCAGGACCTCTCCGTCGGAACGAGGACTTCTTTCAACATTCCCGTTCCTTCGGAGTACAGCTCCTACACCTTCCAGGTGAAAGTGCGTGTATCTTCTTCCTGTGGTGAGTCCAGGTTCTGGAGCGAGTGGAGCTCGCCTGTGTTCTGGCGCCCAGCCCGAACCAAAGGTACGACACTGAGGTTTGCCGGACTGCACAGATTTACCGCCGTCCATTCCAATGCTGTTAACCTCAGCTGGGTATGGATTAGGGCAGGAAAGAAGGACAGATATCTTTACTGCCCACTGACGCTTACTGCCTGTCTGTGCCCTCCAGAACCCCCGGATACCAGAGGAATGTTTGACCTATTCCTGTACTTTATAATTGGTGTGTTACTATTTATTGCCTCAGTTGGTGTGCTGCTTTATTACAAGAGGTAAGCCACCAATGTTACTCATTTACCATATTTCTACCACTATGTCGCACTGGAGTTAATTACTATGATTTATTAGCAAGAGTCGGAAATGCCAAGTGACAGCAGGCCGTGTCCCCCCTGTGCTCTCAGACTCATTCCTGTAGCACCCAGTCCTGGCAAGAACCTGAAGGATCTTCTTCATACTTACAATGGAAACGTCGAGGTGAGTGACACTGCCAGTTTGATACCATCCCATACTGGTAACACCTTGGGATTAGATCAGTGGACAGCGCTGTCGTGTTGCACCTCCAGGGTGGAGGGTTTGAATCCCTCCGCTGCTTGGTATCTGTGCATTCTGTCATGGGCTTCCTCAGGGTGTACCAGCTTCGTCCTGCAGTATAAAAACACGCAGTTAGGCTAATTGGCATCTCTAGATGACCCACAGTGTGTTTGCATGCCCTGTGATGGACCAGCATCTCATCCAGAGTCTACCCTTGGTTTGAGCCTTATGCTGCCTGGGATTGGCTCCAGCCACCACCCCCCCCCCCCCAAACCTGACCAGGATAAGCAGTTACACCATGGATGGTGATGTCTTTTCCACCGATTCCAACAGGAATGGCTGCACGCCTGTATCCCCAAGGAGTTGGTGGAGGGCTTCAAGCCCAATTTCTGCGAGTCAGCCTGCACTGTTCGTGAGTATAGGCTCATCCCACAGGCCACACTCCAGCGCTCCACCTGCTCCCTCCCCTTCCTCACTGACCAATCAGATGGCACGGATTGCCTTTTTACTTCATGCTCAACTTCCACATCCTCCATCTCCTCCCCGATGGGAAACACACCTCCCACATGTAACGGGCATCATGCAGATGATGTCCAGCCACCTCGAGTTGTCCATCCTGCAGTCTGAGTGTGACGTTCTAGACTGGACTCCGGTCATTAGCAGGGTGTTAATGCTCAGGAGGAAGCCAGAACAGAAAGAAGCCCACATGAGCACAGGAACAGGGAGAGGATCAACCCCATAACCCAGGGACAGGATCAACCCCATAACCCAGGCACAGGATCAACCCCATAACCCAGGCACAGGATCAACCCCATAACCCAGGCACAGGATCAACCCCATAACCCAGGCACAGGATCAACCCCATAACCCAGGCACAGGATCAACCCCATAACCCAGGGACAGGATCAACCTCACAACCACAATAAGTTATTGTCCCTTTGAATTTTCAGGCTTATTACATTGTATGTGCATTAGTCAGCCACATATGCTGAATGTTTTTGTTTTCAGGACATTCTGGGATACTCAGGTATGTCATAATTTGATGTGTCTTGGGCTTGATTCATCTTTTTTTTATGAGGAAAAGCTACTTGCGCCCAGGGGTGTTGCTAGAGATTTTGGGCCCCATGAAAGCATGTCAGGTTGGGCCCCATGAAAGCATGTCAGGTTGGGCCCCGCAGTCCAGACCAACAAAATGTTTTAGGGCTGTGGTCAGTCAGGGGCCCCTGGAATCACCCTGACCCACCCTGTACGGTGCCCCTGCTTGTGCCTATTGAAATTTCTCAAGTTTTAGTCTCATCTAAAATAAAATTTGAAGGCACCACAAACATAATATTATACATGTTGAGATTAGTGTCTCTATTACGTGGGGATGCAGGGCTTTCATTGGGGATCTTTCTATGGCGTAATATTGTAAAGGAATACATGGTTAATGACAGGCAGAAATGAACATCTTTAATTCTACATCCATTTGGTAACTTGTTGAAGTTATCTGATAAATAGCAATGCATGGTTTTATATTTATTTTTTTATTTATTACTTTATAACTTCTGAAAGAAGCATTGCTTAGTTCAGCGATTCTCAATCCATGGGTCGTTCTGAGCGGGTGATGAGGCAGAGTGGGAAATGTAAGCATTTTAAAATCAGCAGGATCCTGTGCTGATCTGCGATCAGACGGTTTTGGAGTCTAATGCTGAATGTTTATCGTTTTCTGTCTATATATGCAATGATTGGTAAAGTGAAATTAGAGGATGAAACTCTGCATTTTAGCCTCAAACAAACCAACTCTCTAGCAGTCATTGTGTTTACATGTAGGAGGTGTTCCTGTTACACGATGAGCACCTTCTACGGAGCTTGACATCAAACATACATACACGACCTTTGTGAATAAATATTGCTCCTCGGGTTCATCATTGATGATGTGTCCAAGTAGCACCAAGAGGTGTATTTCAGAGCGGAAATATCCAGTGATTGTCTTCCTAATAAGTAGAATGCCGCGTTTTGTTGTTATTTCCAGTAGCACCCCAGCCAAATTTTTGTTTTTCTATTCCTTTATTTATAGACTTATAATGAATAAATTATAAATATGATTTCCCCAGAAGGGTAGTGCGTGGACCATTGCGGAAGCGAATATGTGCTTTGTTTTCCATCTAAGTTGGTTAATATCAATATTTTATGGATGCTTTTCCTGAAAAATGTTTAAAATATATGCCTCTTTGCACACAGAATTACTTTGGAATACTTTAGCACACAACATTGCAACTTGGAGGATCATAAGAACATAAGTTCTCTGGATTCCAAGGATATGCAATTCATGTCTGCGTGTTATACCTATCAAAAGTAACTAGCCTGATATTAACAGGTGTGAAAATCAATGCATTTTGCATTGGTCGGGTTCTAATGATAAAGAATGCGTATTATTATGCGTAATGGTACTGAAATCTGTGAAGGTCAGACCAGAGGTGAAGATCAGACCGGAGAGGCACACATTTTATGGAAGGGCAATGGGGTAAAAATGCGCTCAAATCTGACATGTCAAGGCAGACATTTTATGGAAGGGCAATGGGGTAAAAATGCGCTCAAATCTGACATGTCAAGGTGCACATTTCATGGAAGGGCAATGGGGTAAAAATGCGCTCAAATCTGACATGTCAAGGTGTACATTTTATTAGTGTAATTTCCACCCAGTTCCAAAGAAACTGCTTACTGTTCGCCCCAACAAAGGAAACAATCTGCACTATATTTTAATTTTAACACAAACTGTAGCTTGGACTGAGTAGCTAAATATACATTTATGACTATATTGTTGGCATCTCTGTAGCTTTTAAATGAACATTGAAAGTGTAGCATCAGATAGCATTGTCAGAGATAATGTAATTTTACAAAAACTTTGTATAAATATGTTTTTATAACTTTCAAGATTATTTCTTTTAATGATTTATCTTTTATTATCAATCTCATTGTATTACTCACATGGAATGTTGGGAGGCCAGTCTAAACTGCTTGTTATTTTATGTTTGTTGATTTTGTGTTCTCAAGGTTTAACGTTCCTATTGGTGTTTCAAATACATTTCCTTGTTTCTGCTCCTTGTTCTCTGTGCATTTGGTTGTCCTGGTTTTGTTTTCCCTTAGTGCTTGGTCATTTCTCCCTGTCTGTTAATTGACCTCTCTGTGCCTGTTAATTGTAATTACCCCACCTGTTCCTTATTGTCCCATATCATTAATAATCAGTTGATTTGTTATGGTTCTCACCTGTCCCCTGTCCAGCGGTCCTGAAGGAACACAATGTCCCCCTGTCTCTAGACAGGATCCCACCCTCTGAAACAGCCAAGGGGACTCAGTAGGCCACACGCTGGGCACCAAGTGTGGGCGTAACTGACTTTTATATCTATGAATTCTGTTCGGCACCAGGCATGGAAGTAAGTTTACCTGACACGACTTAAGGAAAATAAGATGTCTTTATTAAAGCAGGGCGTGCCTGGAGTTGACAGCAAAAAAAAGCAGAGTATCCTCATTCTTAAGAAGTGAACCCCTGAACAACAGAAAAGCTGAGTTCTTATACATTTCTGTAACTTCCATTTTTTTAACCCATTGGCTAAGACGGTGGCTCCTGTCCACGAACGGAAGTGTGTGATGGTCTCAGAGGTGACAGCATTGTACACCTCTGCATCCCTTTAAGTCCCCAGCCAGACAGTCATGATAATTAACCCCTGTTTATTATTGTAGTTTTGCTGTGTTCCTTCCTACCTTTGGTGTTGCTCTGTGCCTTACTTTCCGTTTTTCCAGTTTTTTTTTTGACCCCTTGCAGTCCCTTCATTCTCCCTTTCTGCTTAAAGAAATAAACCATGATTTACTGGAGCTGCTACCTGGATCATCTAGTTACCCTGTTAGTGTATTAAGTAATGTAAATATTTTGATTACTTCATCAAAGTTATGCAACTCATTTCATTTGATTACTTTATCATTAATTTTCTGACAAATGCTTTAAACTGCAATAATAAACCTGTCAAGTGCCGACGGCTTTGCTGGCCTGCAGTGTCTGGAAATAAACCGAAAGAAGGTATTTCTGCACAGTAGAAAGATGCAAAGCAACAGAATGAATGTAATATTCTACGTTTAAGCTTTTTAAAAACCATATTTCAATGTATTCATATATTCCTTTCTAATAAACAACATTTTGATGTGTAACTGTAATTTAATTACTTATTTTTCTCAGTAATTTTAACAGATTGCAGTTAGATGTATCTTGTAATTTCATTATCTAATGCTGTTGCATGTTACTAGCTACTCCCCAACACTGATTACGGGAGTTGTAGCACAGTAAATGTCGCAAAAAGCAATTGCACTATACAATTTGAATTTGAATTTGTCATTTTTTTTTGTCCATACATCGAATAACTGGTAACTGGAACAGGTGTTATCTTTATGTTTCCCAGCATATTTATATACCAAAGCATTATAACTGGGCTATGGATTTCATTTTTGTTATACTGTTTACTATCGTATGAAAGTAGATCATTTATGGGTACTTTTAATAAATTATAAGCATCAATCTGTCCGTCGTCCAACTGCTTATTCAGTACAAATTCGAAGCCGCTCTTGTGAAATACTTCACATGAATCATCCTTCCGTACGTGTCTTTCCCTCTGTGCCCCACTTACGTCTGCAGACTGTTTTCCTGTTTCCTGTTACTGTACCTCCCCTCCAAACTCAGCGCTTATCTTGCATTTTCTGATGCACATTTAGCCACGAGAACCTTCACGATCTCTTATATCTATTCTAGTATTAATACCGCATTTTGATAAGGTGAACGGAAATCATCAGAATGTTCATTTAAAGCTTTACTTAAAAAAGTAGACGTTATGAAAATGTATTTATACAGCATTGTACTGTAACACTAACAGACAACTCTAGCATATGATACGGGGTATATTCATGCAGCTTATATGATTTAACATGACAAAACCTAATCGCAGGTAAACACTATTAGATTATCTATCCACTTTACACAAATTCCCCATTCGAGGTTCAGGTTAGTCTTCAGTGTTCCACACCCTGAGTATCACATGCAGAAACACAGGGTTGTAGCCAAACCCTGACGTCCCGGACCTGGGTGGTCTTGTCAGTCACATTATTCACACCGTCTCCTTCATATGATGTTTTTTATTAACTAGTTGGGTGAATCGTTAGTTAGCCTAATTTTTTATTCAGGTGAATGCTTAGCTTCAAGATTTATTTTTAAGATGTACATTTTAAAGTCTATTCGTTTCTATAAATTCACTTGAATATAACAATTTAAGCAAATGAGAAACATTATGGAATTCAGGATCATCTCGGATTTGGAAATCTCATTTCTCTGACTTCATTTTTACATACATAGATTTGTCAAATGTTTTATGTGATATATATGTATACTTATATTCCATTCATTGATCACCGTAATCACTTAATCACAACTGGGACCGGAGCCTACCCCGGGAACAAGAGGCATAGGCAGGAACCAACACACTGCAGGGCGCGCACACACACACACACACACACACACACACACACAATTACAGCGCCAATTTTGACTCGCCAATCAACCTGACCTGCAACCTGTGTACTGGTGACAAGTGACGTGACAAAATTATTTTGATTCTTCCTGATGCTCAGTCCGTTCAGACCCAAATAACGGCTTTAGTAGCAGATTGTCTTAACTCATTCTGGACACTAGAGGGAGCTGAGCCATCACATTAAAATCAGCTGGTGTCTAGCATTCCGGCCTGAATGAAACTAAAGTTAAGAGAGAAACAATGTAATTTTTATGCAATAAAATGCTTGCCAGCGGTGTGAAAGACAGATGGATGTATAAAACATACATACAGTAAAATCCTGTTATAGTGGACTCGCTTATAACGAAATATCGTCTCTAACAGACGAGGTCCACTGGAACAGGTGTTATGCCGAAAAAGGCATCCCTGCCGTAGAATGCATGCCTGTCTCTAAATGACCGATTGGTCGCTAATCTGAAACGAGTTGAGCTACTTTGTCGAGTTAGGCTACCGTAGTGCTAATCGATAGCCCTAACCCTAAACCTAATCCCCAAAAACACCCCAAAAACCCCTAAAAGCTTAACTCGTCAGAACACCGTCATGCATTCTATGGCACGGATGCCTTTTTCGGCATAACACCTGTTGTGCGCCTTTGCAGAAAAAGCATCGGATATAGCGGACTCGCATATAACGGAATTTCGCTTATAACGGATAAAAAATTTGGTCCTCAGGGCCGCTTTTAGCTGTAGTTCTGTTCGGCTATAACGGACATGCAGGCTCCGCCTACAAGGCGTGTGGCGAACCTGTGATATCCAGTGCAGATACGTAGACGGGATTATTAATAGTCACGCATCTGGTCAGGTAAAGTTGGATTACTACGTGTGCAATATAATAATCTATACTATAATTGTGTCTGCTGGCATGTGGCATGAGTAAATGGTGTCCTGTAGTTGTGTTCTGGGCATACAGCAACTCTGGATATAACGGACTGTCTTGTCAGGTCCCTTGAAGTCCGTTATTACAGGTATTAATTTGAATACAAGTCATAAAAAGTCATAAAAGTCATAAAAAAGTTTTAAAAAAAATGTTTATGGCAACATTTTCTTGAGAAAGTCGCAAAAAAAATAATAAAAAAAATCCAAAAATCGAAGCTGGTGTAGAGAAGCTGAACACCTTGACCTTTTTGAATAAGAAAGAATATCCAGATGCAATCAAGCCTAATTATGCAGTTCAGTGGGTCAGGCTGCAGAGCAGAAATGTGTTAATACAGGAACTGTGTCTCCTGACTGACAGACAGCAGATACGCCTCAAAGCCACTCAGGATACTGGACTCAATGCACCCACCCCTCCCCCCAACACATCTGCAAACATCCCCGGAAAAATCAGTGGAAGGTATCGAGATGCTCACCTGAATAGTGAACCATGCACAAATGACCGGGAGCACAAATTTGCATAAAACACTTGATGCTATGAAGCTTTCATTTGTAATGTTGAGGTGCCACCAGTGTCACATCCCTAAATTTACCTGCAGTATAAATATGAATGTGGCCCAGGTGAAGGCTGCGGGGCGGAGGCTGTGGGGCAGAGGCTGGTGGGCAGAGGCACCCATGGAGCTGGGGATTAAGGGCCTGGCTCACGGGCCCACAGACTGCTCTGCTGAGGCTAGGCTTGGATCAGCAACCGTTTGACCACAAGCTATGAGGCTTAGCCTGCTGAGCCACGCTGTGACCCAGTTCTATGATATTACTGTAAGACACAGATTAAATCCGAAGCACAGGATTTGAATGTTTCCTTAAATTAAGCTTCAGTCATGTTTTGCACGTATGTTGGTACCTTGATTATATGAAATACACATCTCAAGTTTTAAGTAAATCCCATCCCATTTGTTTATATTTTATTATAGCTGAATAAAGATAATTTTGAGATGATCCCTTGTGCTGATTGTGATCCATGATGTCACCCCAGACAAATATGATTGGTTAGTATGAATACTTGTTTGTTACCAAGCTGCATGTAAGTAGGAAAATCAGTTTTAAAAGGAACAGGCATGATATATATTTAGAAATGAGTGTGCCGGTGTGTGAGTGCGCTGCTCGATCTATAATCTTTAACCACGGGTCCATGCAGATCTTATCAGTGCCTTTCACAGTGTGACAGACTTGTGTGCCTTTGTTCAGTCAGTCGTGAAAACACGTCTCATATTCAGCATGGATGACTGCCACTTGGTCCAGATATATCCTATAAAATCACACCTTTGTGTGTCTCAAAAAAACAGATGTTAAGAAAATCAGATACCTTGTCTTGCCTTGTATGTCATCTCCCATCTTCCTGCATCAGACACTTTCAGATTGGCACTCTCTTGCTTGCCAGCCCTGCCGGCAGGTGCATTGGGGGGGGGTTGGTGTTTAAAGAGCTTTCGGCCAAAACGCTGCATGGTCGACACTCACGGGAGAAGCCAGCAGTGATATTAGTGAACATCATCTTTGTGTTGCTCCTGTCAGATACTCCAAACAAGCCAGCTAACAGGATAACCCTACAATCATACCTCTTGATACAAATGTTTGTATAAATCATACTATGTTCTCATTTTTTTTTTTTACAGTGCTTAAAATAAGAGAACAGCTGTTTCACAACCCCCTCATCAAACTAACAGGAAGTTGCGGTCGCCTCTCCTTCCTCCTTTTTGCGTGCCTTCTGAGTCTTGCTGCTTGTCTTTCTTGCCATTTTCTGGCCATTTTCCTCGCCTCACAATATTCCTCTTTCTAACATAGCCCCCCCATTCAAGACCACACTGGCGTGACATAGAGGTTACATGACATTTCTTTGGTTCAACTTATGTCTGCTTCACCTTAAGTTTAGGGGAAAATAGAAATGTCAAGGGCAAAGTCTTTGTTCAGTTTCAAACAGAAGGGGGCAGTATAGCTGTGGTTATGCTGCTATACCTGGTACTGTGGACTGAAGGCAGTAATGCTAAATAGAGACAGAATCCCTCACATACATACTGCATATCTGCTGCTTCCTGACATCCATGTGAAAGCAAAATCCAAATGACAAGAGGACCATTAATACGTCATTGGGATTTTCTTTTTGCATTTACTGTATATGTAACCTGTGATGCTTTGTAAACCCCATGAAGAATCACAGAAATTGAAAGATTTTACTGGATTTTATCAGAACCAACTTTTTAGACCTGAACTAAACGTTTCATTTGCCGATTTAATTTTTCATTGCAGGTTTGAAAATAGATTGTATTGATACATTCAGTTGGGTATGTAGAAGCACGTGGGTAAATAACTGTTTACCCAGTTAACCAGTCAAAGATCAGATCTTTAGGGAAACACAATCATAGGGTATGTCCGAAGTTGCATACTCGCTTCCTGTGTAGTAAGTAAAATATAGTGTGTGACATGAGCAGTATTTCTGAATGCTCAGTATGGATGAGACTGTAGGTGAATGGTAGCCCAAATGACATACTACAATCTTTGAAATTCTGAAGTGTGCAACCAATGGACACTATGCTATCCCACAAAAGCTCTGGAGCAGCAAGGTTGCTTGCTCAGAAAATTTTGTCAAGTACAAATTTAAGCAAAACACAATACCCAGTTACATAAGCTGACTTTTTTTTACTGTTCTCATGCACACATACAGTATGCACTGCATCACCACTGAGCAGTAGGGTTCTCTAAAGGTCAGTACCTACTGTGTAAGTATGTGATTTCAGACACACCCATACAAATTGGGCCAGTTTGTTGTTACCTATAAGGATGAAGATCATAGAACAATGGGACGACTGTGTAGTGTCAGGTCAAAAAGGCACAGCAGAAAGATCCAGGCTTCAGAGGTCCAGCCTACGACAACCCATGGGGAACAATTCTGCCTAGCAGTGGGCATCCTCTTCAAATATCACCTGAAGAAGAACAACAGATCTCAACCCAAGAATAACACCCAGGATCTACCAGTCATCCTCAGTGGGTCTGATGACACTTTGTGGCTGTCACCAATAAGGGGAACACAGAGC